ATTTTGCTTTTATGTAACTGTGTACTTACACATATCTTGCTACATCCCTCCCATAAACTGTTGGAAGAGAAATTGCAGGGTCATTGAGTTTTTTCATTTGTAATTTTGACGGATAGTGCCAAGTCACCCTTTACAAAGGCTGTAAGACTTACACTCCCATCAGCAATGTGTGAGAGGACCTGTCTCCTCAAACTTCACCAACACAATGTGTAGTCAAAGTTTGTGACCTTGCCAATCTGATAGAAGATAGGATCTGACAATCATTTTAAATTGCATTTCTATTATTGTGAATGAAATTAAGCAATGTTTCATATGCTTAAATTCTATTTATGTTCCCTCTTCTCTAAATTGTCTTTTTATATCCATTGTCTATTTTTCTGTTGGGTTGTTGGTCTTTTTACTTTGATTGATAAGAATGCTTTGTGAAATAGAAAATAAAAGCTTGGTCTATATTATGATTTATAAATATTTTTCACAGATTGTCATTAGCCTTTGATGCTGTAGTTAAGTAATAATAATAATAAAGATAATGTTTACATTATGAATTTCATGCCTGCTTATTGTGGAATTTCTGGAAAATACAAAAAATTAAAAGCAAGAAAATAGAAATCATCTATAACCCCACAACAAAGATATTCTGCTAATATTCTCATTTCCCATCTTAGCACTTTTTCTAAAGATTTGCATATAAATATTGCAGCTATACATACACATATATACATATAAGCATATATATATCAAGTACAAATTTCTCAGTCTATGTTCCAAGGCATGTTAAAGATACATATCTATTTTTCTCTAAGACTGCTTATGCCTATTTCCAACCTTCATTCCAGCTTGTGGGGGAAGAAAAGTCAGTTCTGTATAAACTCAGAAATCATTCAGGATTTCTCCCTCCCCATCCTTCATCTGGTGGAAGTGACATCTGAGTTTCCCAGTGAGCATCCACTGAAAAGCACATGGTTCTCTCTTATTCTCGACCACCAACCTCCTTCTGCTGGCACCAGCTGAGATATTTTTGTCCCTGTTCTCCACAAATTCTACATCCTTCCATCCTCCCTCCAGGAGGCCCAAGGCTCCCTTTGTCTGACCACCCACTGTCCTCTGGCATAGAAGTCTATTTTGAGTTGCATATACTAAGCATTGACTTGGCTCATTCTCTCTGCATTTCTACAGTAATAACCCTACCCTCGGGGGCAGTGACTATAGAAACACCCACTGATGCCCAAGTTGTGAGAAAAGAATAGCTGTGAAAGAAACTTCAGAATAAAGATAAGACCACTGGATACTCTAGGGTTTCATCCTGACACCTATTTTTGCAAAATTGAAATCATACTGTATAAATTGATTTGTACACCAAATATTGTGCTTCACCTGAGAAAACACTCAGGAAGATTTTGATTATTAAATATAATGAAAATCTGAGAGAAATTATATTTTCAAGTTGTTGTAAACCTTCCGTATTGCTGGATATCTAAGTGTTTCGAATTTTCCAATACTAAAAGCAAAACACTGAGCCGAGCTTCTTTGATGTGAATCTTTATGCATCTTTCCGATTATCTCCCTAAAGTAAATCCCTAGAAATACAATTACTGGATCTTCAGCATGTTAATAATTT